ACTAAATGTTCTTTCATCTGTTCCAGTTTATTTGTATTCTGCATAACTAATTATTCATTACGGTTATTCTCTAGTTTAACCATGCTTGTTTACCTTCCTAGCTGCCTAGCTGTATTGCTATCTCTATCTATACATCTGTATTCTTAATATATCTATCGTCAGAATAGATTGCAAGTCCTTGTGTTATCTAAATAATGTAGCTAATAGTGGACTCAAAGATAATGTATAAGAAGGTTATTAGAAGACCCATTTGTTCATACTAGTGGTTAAGTTTCATCCATTCCACTTAGTCCTATATCGTTATTTTGGCTTTGCTCCTTGTTATGCCAACGAAAATCTGTCTGTGAATTCATGCCTATGAATGTTTCTTTTAACTCTCCCCTCACAAGTAGATCCACCTTTTTCTTTTCAATTTTAGTATGTCCAGGCAACCAGACTAAACGTACTTTGTTCCTTTTTCTGATCCAAATCAGATTCTTAAGACAGTTCCAAACCAACTTGACGTCAGTCTTATACGATGTCATTCCTTTTAATGCCATCTGGCTATCCAATATAATTTTTATAGAGTGTCTCTTTATTAATTTCTGCAGGCACATCTCAACAGCATAAATTTCTGCTTGGAATATTGTAGGGTGAAGACCTAAGCTTTCACTAAGCATTAGTCTTGGTTTCCCTTCATGTACTAATTCTCCAAATTCTTTATCGGTTTTAGAACCGTCCATTTATCAGCATTGAGCTGATTACAAGCATTCGATTGTGTTAATCATTCAGAAATAATAAGATTCCTCCAGGAACGTTCGATAGATGAGAATGACCTTAAAATCATAAAAAACCTTTATATGAATCAAGTGGCATCTGTGAGAGTAGGACTGGAATCTACATCATATTTCTCGATCGAAAAAGGTGTACGACAGGGTTGTGTTCTGTCACCCTCCTTTTTAAATCTTTACTCTGAAACGATTTTCGATAGAGCCTTAAGTGACACTGAAGATGGAATCAAAATCAACGGACAGACTATTAGTAATCTTCGCTATGCTGATGATACAGTCATAATAGCTGATAGCCAAGAAGCGCTACAACGACTAATAGATAGAATAAACACTGAAGGAGAACGAGTGGGCTTGAAGATTAATATAGACAAGACGAAGGTAATGGTGGTTAGTAGAACCCGAAATATGCAATTGAATATAAGAGTAAACAACAAGAACATCCAAAAGGTCCCCAAGTTCAGATATCTCGGTAGTTGGATAACTGAAGATCTAGATCTAGACATAGAGATACGTAGCAGGATTGAGCAAGCCAGAACAGCATTTACTAATATGAGAACATTGCTAAGCAACAGCAGCCTCAACTTAATGCTTCGATATCGCTTTTTAAAATGTTACATTTACTCCATACTGCTATATGGTGTAGCAACATGGACCATAAAGGCCAATGTGATAAACCGATGACAGGCCTTTGAAATGAGGGTATTTAGAAGACTACTTAAAATTCCCTGGATAGATCACACAACAAATGTCGAAATATTAAAAACGAGGCATCGGAAGAAAGAAATACTCATGGCTTAAAAACATAAGGGATTGGACAAATCTCGATGCCCATGCACTTTTTAGAGCCACACAAGATCGAGAGGAGTATTCCAGAATTGTCGCCAACATCCAGTAAATGGATAAGGCACCATAAGAAGAATAGCTGCCATTCTGAGATTCGTTTCATTCGACTCTCATTCGTCCCTTCTTGAAAACGTCAGTAAACATCTTTTTGAAATTATATTTAGGTTGCCTGGCATCTGGATGATTTGTTATTATCTCACCAAATTTGATCTCAGTATCCTTTTGAACTGATCCCTTGCTTTTTATCTGTCTTCTGTATTCTTTTACCATCGCCTCCTCCTTCCATATATGTAAGTGAGGGTGATCAAGTATGTAAGTTTCACAAACCATTCAAGGTACACCACTTTACAACCACTCATTCCACAAACCACTTCGTTTAAGAGTTTTAGCACTTCATGTAAATATATAATCACTATAAACCGATCATGCTTTGGACATGCATTATATCTATGTTATATGGTTCCCCATTCAGCCAATATGTAACGTTGAAAGTTTAAATTTGCTCAGTTGTAATTTATAAGCCTGATAAAATTCACAAGTATAGTATCTTTTGAAATTATCTTCAATTTAATTGATTTAACTTTTGGTGAATAGCCTCTTAGTCGATTTCAATATTTTTGATACCACCTTTCTAATCTTTAAAAGTTTTTATGATTTTCAAACGACTTATTTTTCATTTTAAATTTCCATTCCACTTCATTCAAGCTTGTTTTTTGTTTTCAATAGCCTTACTGCAATCTTCGTTCATTATTGATGTTTAGGTTTCTTATTTAACTGAATCGTTTCAGTGGCTGATTGTACTATGGCTTTCTTAATTCATTTCAAGGTCGTTTATTTGGCTTATTATGTAGAATTTCTGTAAATTTGTTACTGACATATTTTAATTTATTTCTATCAAATTTGGGAGGTTTATTCTTTGTTTAAGCATTTGAATTCCTCTTTTGATTACTATGAATGATGTTTATGTTTACTAGTAATAAGTAATGATCTGAATCAATATTAGGTATATTACGTAATTTTACACACTTTAACCATGACCAATTTAATTACAGGAATTCAAAAGAAAGAGCCTCCTCAAAAGAGACAACTGGGACGATATCCGAGAATTCCCTTCACCAATGAACAAATTGCCACCCTCGAAGAAAAATTTCAAGAAAGTCCATATTTAAGCAGCGAAGAGGCTTCAAACCTGTCGAGAAAGCTTCAACTAGCAGATATAAAAGTTAAAATTTGGTTTCAAAACCGAAGAGCTCGAAAACGAAGAGAAGAAATGAACAAAAATTTTAATGAAAAAATACCAAAGACTGAACATTTGGAACCAGTTTTGCAACCTTCCACAAGCAGTCGAACTTCACCGATTAATACAGACACAAGTAGTTTATTACAAAGTACCATCCCGCAAAACAGTACAGCTTTCGTTCCTTTTATGTATATTAGTCCCCAAAATATTTTAGAGTTTAAACCTCGGTAATATAGATACTGATCATTTTGCCAATTGTGAAATAAGTTTGTTGAATATTTATTTGTATATAAAATAAAGTTATTTACAGAAAGTTTATCACACTATTTTTTATTTATTTATTTTTTATCTTAACAAGAAGTTAAAAATATTACAATATATTATAAACTTACTTATATTATATTAATCTTATGGTATTCTAAACATAATAGTCACGCGAGATTAAAATATGTGTCAAATGAAACTCCTGCATTAGGGGATCAATTTGGGCGTATCCACCAATTTTTCAATAAGCGGTTTGCAATAACCGCTAAGAACGAAATTGACTTCATTTTAACCAACAAGACTGCTACAGTAAAAGATGTCACTGTAATAAATAAATTTCAAATATTCAGAGATTATAGATTAATCAGAGTAAAAATTGTTTTAGATCTGAATCTAGAAACAATAATATTAATCACAAAATCAACAGTAACCGGTATAAATATTAACAATCTAAAAGAAAACTCAGATCACTACCAAAGGACAATCGATGAAAGATTACATGACCAAATCGACAGCAATGGAAATCATTCTTGATATTGCCAAAGAAATCAGAGGCACGCAACAACAAAAAGAAGAGCACATATTACAAGATCCTCAGCATAGAGGAAGTGCTTGGTTTCGCTCGGCGTAGGTTGATCCAAACGATGTATATATTGAAGAGCATTGGTTCTAAAACTTTTTTTGTTTTTTTGAACTCTCCACCTACTTACTTTACCAGCATAACGAAAAACGTTCTGTTTTGCAGTAAGGAATTTACGATCTTACCCAGATGGTGGTCATTGAAAGAGTCGTATAATTGATATCCCCAACTATTTGTTCTGCATATGGTCTCAATCGGTCATACCCAATATTTGACAGTATTTTATATGTCACAGTTGATAGCGTTATAGCCCGGTAGTTGTTACATTGAAGCTGATCTCCCTTTTTATGTAGTGGGATAATTACTCCGATATTCCAGTCTTGTAGCAGTTGTTTACTATTCCATATGTTCACTATTAGTTCGTGTATCGCATTCAATAGGGAGTCTCCACCTTCCTTTATTAATTCTGCGTTAATTTTGTCTAATCCAGGTGACTTGTCGTTTTTCAGTCTGGTAACTGCTTTTTGCATTTCAGCTACTGAAGGGAGGTTGTTTCTCTGGTATCCGTTTGATCCAGTTTAATTTCATCATATAGTGGATCTTCGTTTTTTTCTAACTTTTCTTTAAAGAATTCTGTCCATCTTTGTAGTATTTCACTCTGTTGAGTTACTATATCTCTTTCTTTGTCTCTGCACATCATTGTTCTTGGTTTAAATTCTTATCTACTTTTGTCAAGTTTTTGGTAGAATTTTCTGGTTTCTGATAGTTTATTTATTGCTTCCATTTCTTGGAGTTCTTTTTCTATGTGTTCTCTTTTCTGTCTCCGATGTATTTTCTTCTCTTCCTTCCTTAGCATTATATATTCCTCCTCTGCCTTTCGTGTTCTATGTCGTTGTTGTAGGCGTTGATATGCATTATTTGTCCTCTCTGTTCGTTCTAATCGTTCCATTCTACTCTTCTATAATAAATAGAAGAGTAAAAGTTCAACACCAAACATCAAATTACTAATAAGTCTGTAAGAGGCTAACTAATTTGAAAAGGAAAGCTAGATATACGAATTAATTGAAAAATAATAGTGGAAAAAAGTAGGGAAAGAAAATTACCACAAAAATTACATCAACGTTTAGATAATTTAACATCACGTGCTAATGTTCCCAATAATTCCACGCCACTGAATTTAGTTATGTTTAAATAACATTTAAATTAAGTTGCTAAATATGTCTAACGGCACACGTACAGTTAGAGAAAAAAATAGATTTACCCGACATTTATAGGTCTTGTTTCTTAAGACGTGTATTTCACCATGGTAAGTAGTATTTATTGATGAAATATACATACAAATGTAAATTTTATACAAATTAGAAATAATTTAGTTATTTTGTATAAATCTGAATGAAAAACAAGATAATTTAGTATTTACTTTTTCGAAAATTACTTTCAATAAATTAATTTTTATAATTACTTCATTTCAATTTTCCTTATATTTTCCTTCTGGTATCACTAAGGCATTTCAATTTCTTCTTCTTTAGGTTTTTGGCTTTTCTTAACAAGAAACAATCTGCCTTTTTTTATCTTCTATTATTAACTGCAGAAAGTTGTATCTGTCTTACGACCCCCTTTGCTATTTAAAAATTTCGAGGGTGTGCTTATAATTCAAAGGGGGTGCTGGAGGGGGATATTATTTTCATACTGTAAATTGTCAATTTAAGAATAAAAATCGACCTGTTTCAGGTTTTTTTCACATAGTACATAATAACGCTAAAAATGAGTTTATTCCGTACATATGGACCACATGGTAGGGATAACATTATATCATTATTTTGCCATAATTGTGCTCTTATAATTGGCAATTAGTGTGATGTGAAATTGATACATACTAGTAGGTATATTTGGAAAAATATAAAAGATTTTACTTGTTTAAAGACTTCTTGCTAAATTTCACAGCTTCTTTAACTGTTTGGAGTATTTATTAAAAATAAATTTACAAGGATACTAAACACATTAATGTTAACTACCAGTTACCACTTTAATGCGATTTTATTTATGGTTAATATTACATACACAAGATTGTATTTATAATATTGGTAATTACTTTTTAATTACTTCGTGAAATACGATAAATACATAGTAAACAAGGCGAAAAGCTCGGGTTTATTGGGAAAAATATTCCCATGAGATTTTTTTAAATAAACACTTTCATGAGATACCCCAAAATAAGGATCAAGAGGTCGCCCAGGCGAAAAGTTGTTCAAAAATTTTTTTAAACAAATTGATAACAATAAATTTTTTAGGTCACTTGTATTTTTTCTGTAAACTTGATCGTTTTCGAGTTATAAACAATTGTTCTTCTTGTTTCTTCTTCACTATTAGCCTCCTAAACTGTTTCAATTCTCGTATCTTTTTTTTTTGGTCTGTCAATACTTCTTCGTTCATTTGGTGATTTATCTTGTGCTATTCCTACTATTCTATCCTCTGCCATTCTACTAATGTTTTCGTTCCACTCCTATTTCCGTTTGTCACTTATCCATTTATGTCTTCTATATTGCATGCTCTTCTTATGTTTTCGTTTCTTTTCCTATCCAACAGACAGTTTCGTGATATTCGTCGAACTATTTTCATCTCTGTTGTTTCTAGTAGTCGTCTAGTTTTAGATGTGTCAGGTCTTGTCTCTGCCGTGTATGTTAATAGAGGTCTAATTGCTGCTTTATAGATTCTCGTTTTTGTGTCTTGTCTTAGGTGTTCGTTTTTCCATATTGTGTCATTAAGAGATACTGCTTATATTATTTCGTCCATTATTATATCAAAGAGAAGTGGGTATACACTGTGTAAGTTTTCCATTTATCTTTGCCTGTATTCGATTATAAAAGTAGATATTTTCGATGGTTTGTATAATATTGATTGGTATATTTTTTTATACAGTAGGTGTAAGACGTCTTCGACTTGCATGCGATCGAAAACCTTTATCAGGTCTATAAAATAAAGATATGTTGGTTTACTGTACTCGATGGCCTTTTCTGTGATTTGTCTTAGTACAAATATGGCGTCCACGCAGAATCTTCCGGATCTGATTTCTTGTTGTTCATCTGATATAGTTGTTAGTTTATTGATTTTGTTGGTTAGTACTTTTGTGGTAAGCTTAAGTGCGGTGTTCAGTAGATTTATACCTCTATAATTGTTGGGGTCTTCTTTATCTCCTTTCTTGAACATTGGTATCATTATGCTATTTCTCCATGCGTCTGGTATCTTGCAGTGTAATATCAGTTTGTGTATAAGTTTTGTCATCTCTAGGGTTATACTTTCTCCTCCGTGTTTTAAAAGCTCGTTGTTTATTCCGTCTGGTCGTGGTGACTTTCTATTTTTGAGTGAATTTATGGCTATCTTTACTTCCTAAAAACTGATTTCTATTTCTTTTCCATTCGTTTGCTGATATGTTATTGTATTCCATCAATTCTGCCATTTCTTTTCGTTCGTTTCTTATGAATCTCCATATTTGTTTTTGTCTACCGTAGAAGTCGCTTTTCACCCTTTTTGTAAACTATTCCCAGTGCTCATTTTTTGTTTCTGCTTACTAACTGCTTTGTTTTATTTCGTATTCTTCTATTGTAGCGTTGATGCTTAATAAATATTTGGCGCACAAATTAAATCCAAGGCTAGAAACGCTCATTGTTGGAGAGAGAGTTGGGGGGGGGGGGGGGGGGTTCCGTTGAAATATATAGAAACTGTATCATATCTTAAATCCAAGCACAATCAGATAATATGAAATTATAATTTATTATTTGACGCCACCCCTGGTTTATTCTTGAAGGGGACGAGTAAAGAACAAAATTAAGATTTATAAAAAGTTTACAAGAAAACTATACTTTATTATTTCTTAGGAATGAACAAAAAGAAAACAATAAAAGTTATGTCATCCCAAAAGGATACCAAAATAGCATTTTATGTTTACATTACCATAAACAAAAAAAACTTTGTATCGTATTAAATTAAGAATTAATTACAAAGAAAATGAATATATATATATATATATATTATATATATATATATATATATATATATATATATTAACCCCAAATTTCGAAATTTGTTTACATTCAAAATATTATAGTTATTTATTAACTAGGAATAATAGAGAAATTAAACCTTTAAATAAAATTAAACACTTCACTATATTTTCATTCTTTGAGTTCATAATTATTTCTTGCTTTCTTGATAGAAGATATAATAAAAATTGGTACAACCTGAATTATCCAATAGCTGGTAACTATGAAGAAAAAGGATATGCTCTGTTTCTTTTCACTATTTAATCAGTTAACCAAATGAAACCATTGCATATCAATATACCACACCATAAAGAGATACTGTTACTGGACTAGGATTTGGAACCACTCCGTATCAATATTCTCTTGAGACATGTATTAGAGACATATCAGCATTCTAGCCTCTCCAATAAGGGTCTAAAAACAAATACCTATCTGAAAATATGGGCAAGAAAAGGATTTTTTCGGCTTACCTCTACAGAGACCCAATTCGGAAACACGTCTTAACGGTTGGACGTTTTAAGAGAAAAAGAGAAAGACGCTATTCCTTACCGCTGTGAATCGGGGCGTAAGTGACAAGTTAATGAACGTTCTCATCTACCGGATATGTTTGGGAATTACAGAAGATCCTTGAGTCGGCTACAAGTACCCGGCAGATAGAAGGGGTTAGTAGTTTTATTTAAAAAAAAATAATCGAATTTATAATGAATTTTCTAAAACTTTTGAAACGGTTACACTATAGGTGTCTCAGAATTTTGGAGTATTTGATGTTTTATACTTCGTGTAGGCCTCTCGTTTCTCTTTACATTTCTCTTTTATTTATTTTTTGAACCATGGTGTATTGTTGTTATTTTTTTTGTTCAGGATGACTTTGCGTTTTCCTAGAACTTCTGTTGCTGCTTCTTCAATGTTGTTTTTAATTTTCGCCCAGCTCGCGTTTATATCTTCGATCTCGTCTATTTGTTTCAGCTGTGTCTTCTGTGCTAGCCTCCTTTGGTACAGTTCTCTTGTAGAGTATTTCTGTTGAAAATGTTTTGGTGTTATTTTTATTGTTATTTTGTTGATACTAGTTTGTGTTCACTCTCTGCGTTTGCTGAGTTTAAAGTTCGGATATCTAGAATCTGCTTTTTGTGAATTTTTCTATTAGTGACTATAAAATCAATTATAGACTTGTGCCCCTGACATGGTTTTCATTAAATCTTCGTTTTACTGCAGGAACTATTTTATTTCCATATCGTGCATTAAAGTCACCCCGATAAACAATTTAAAACTGAAAAAAGCGCATAATTACAATTTTCAAGACCTAAATTTTAGTTTAATCTTTGTTCTATTATTTACCGATAAGTAGTTTGGGCTTATTTTATTTTAAAACATTGTTTTTTAATTGCTAATGAAGCGCTTATGACAGGACGAGCGCTTGGGATGCGGCTAAAGAGAGGGAAACAAGATCTATGCATAAATTTTTGCTGGTTTTAATTCTCATTGTACAAATAAGAGTCGCTCCTGCCATGCGCGCTTTATTAACAATTAAAAAACAATTTTTTAAAATAAAATAAGCCCAGAGTTTTCATCGGGAGTTGATAGAATTTCTTGGACTTGAATTCAGGCACATAATGGTTTCAAAAATCATATTTTTTACTTGTGATTTTTAATAGAAGCAGAATTTAAGTTAATTTTATATTTTGGAAAAATAATAAGATTGGACCTGTTTTATATTAAAATACAAACTTACATTTTTTTTTTATTTTAGGTTTTCCGTCTTCTGTTACTTTTTATATCTGTAGCCAGTGTACTCTGCGAAAAAATTGGTGAAAAAGAAGAACGTATTAAAGACGGCAGCAAAAGGGAAGGCGACTACATAACGCATGATACATTAAGCAGAAATAATCAACATAGACAACCAAAACAAACCAACTATTACAGTATTCCGAATACAGCGAACATGCGAAGAATCAATAATATGAACTTTAACAACAAATATTACGATAACAGGTAAAATTTCCATTTGTTGTCTTATGTCTCTTTATCACGACCTATCTATGTAAATTATCTGTCGATATATTTCTTGTATGGTTACTCTCAGAGGAATATAGTGTTCATGTTTCCCTTTGTTGATTGTAAATTGTAAATTTCAAAGTGGTCGTTTAGCTTTGTAAAACTTACCACACTGCGAACTGAAAGATCTATTTTATATAATCTTATGTATATTGGTGGCTTTCGGATAGACTTTAGCGTCTACTCTCGAGCTTCTTCTAGATCGAGATCTTGCTTCAACAGGTACGTAAACCTTGTACTTGCGGTGTCGTTCATGCTAGCCCGCTGGAATTTTTTCTAGACTTGCCGATTTATTGCTTACTTTTCAATACTTTCATCATCTGCGAAAGCATGGCCTCTCACGGGATCCAGTTCCATAGATTTCGGATAACTGGAGCTGCTTTATTCCTCCTCCGTGTTTGCTTTATTTACTTGTTTATGGAAAGCTAATGAATGCAAAGTCAATCCCACATGCCGGAGGAAGACAATGAAATCTGAGGTCACTTGATACCAGAAGTCAGTATGGTAGGTAACTCATTTAACTTAGTAGCTATTCCAACAATGGTTTGAGGGAAATTTTACTATCATTTTGGCCAGCCAATTAGGCCCCCACATCAGTAAGCACTATCTGATCAACTACCGATATTATTTGCCTTGTTAACTCTTGCAGCAGTTCTAACAAATGGTCCAGTTTTAAAATTTCCGCTCTGTAAAAGCTTCTTATTAAAGAACCGGCTTTTCACGGTCGGTGTTTGTGAAGATAGATTAATATTAGAGTTTACAGGTCTCGGTCTGGAATTATTTATTCCTGGCATTTCTCCGCGTTCTTGCCGCGTCTGTGACTGCGGCAAAAAATATTAAAAACTATATAAATACTAGCTTTCGCGTCATTCAATGATGTGCAGTAAACAGAAAATTCCACACCATGATCTATATCAATCAATCAATCAATCAGTCAGTTTATAACGTTCTATGCCATCTTCTGATTTCCAGTCTCCATTTATCTCGGCCGTTCCAAAGGTTTTCTTCAGTCTCCTCTCCCTTAAGTCTTTATTAATTACTTCTCTTCAACTTAATCTCGGTCTACCTTGCTTTCTTCTTTCATGCGGTATCCAGTTCAATACTTTCTTTGGTATTATGTATTCATCCATTCTTTGGACGTGTCCATACGATCTTAGTTGATTTATTCTGATGTCCTCTGTTATATTGTGCTTCTTCTTCTTCATGTGCCATCTCTCTAAGAAGGTTGGCAACCATCATGGCAATTTGCACTTTCGATATCGCTGCTCTAAAGAGGTCAGCAGAAGTGCAGTTAAACTAAGCTCTCAAATTGTTTAACTAGGAGATGCGTCTTCTTCCGGACTCCTTCTACCCTGTATTCTTCCTTGCATTATTAATTGCAACAAAGTATAACGCTCGCCCCTCATAACATGTCCCAGATGTTGCAGTTTTCTGACTTTAATCACTAAACACTGATTATCCACCAAACTAATTTTTAATATCCTTTTATAGGTCCATAACTCGAAGGCCGAAACATATGTCCGAAACATATTTCTGTAATGTCCAAGCCTCCAACCCATAAAAGAATACGGAAAACATCTAGCATCTCATTATATTGTGGTTAACACACATATTTTCTCGTATTCTGTCGTTTCTAACACTGTCTAATCTTGATTTTTCAGCCGCTTATTTCCAGGAATCCATTTCTACTACTTCTAATTTAAGTTTCAAGTTTTCAAGTTTTTCAATTCTAACTTTCAAGTTTTCTCCTTTCAGTGGCCATACCTCACTTTCATATGTGACAATGCTTTTTATAATGCTGTTATAGATTTTGTGTTTATTTTCTTTAGAGATTGTTTTGTGCCACAGTACACTGTTTAATTGCCTAATAGCTTGTCTTCCCTGGTTATTTCTACGTTAAATTTCTCCGTCTAATTTGTCATCGTTGGTTATTTGCATGCCTAAATATTTGTATTTTTGACAGTGATTTATTTCTCGCTGTAGTTCTTCCAAAATTAGATTTTGTTGAATTCCCCCAATACACATGTATTCATTTTTTTTATATTTACTTCTAGCCTCCAAAGTTCGTATTCTTCGATAAGTTTACGGGTCATATTTTCAAGGTCTTCATAGTCTTGGGCCATCACTATCTAGTCGTCTGCAAGCTTCAATGTGTACAATATTGCGTCGTTTAGAGGAATTCCCACGTTTCTGCACTTTCTTTTCCACGTCATAATCGCTTGCTCCGAGTAGATCTTAAACAAAGTAGGAGACAAGCATCATCCTTGCTTGAGTCCTTTGCTGAAAGTGAAAACCTTGGATACCTCCTGACCTTTCTTTATTTTACTTGTGTTTGTTGTTCTTGTAGAGGTCATGAACAGCTTTGATTAAGGTTACATTAATATTTTTTTCTCGAGAGCTTCCGAGAGTTTTTGTTGTGGCACACTATCCTAAGCGTTTTTAAGCTCCACGTAGAGGAGATGTATTGGTTGATTTCGTGCTACTTTTTTTCGATTAACTGGGTAACAGCAAACAGATGGTCAATAGTTGATCTACCTGCTCTAAAGCCGGCCTGTTCTTTGGCCTCCATATAACAGAATTCATCTTCCATTCTGTTTTTGATGAGTTTCCCATAAACTCTCGAGATAATGCAAAGGAATGCGATTCCTCGATAATTATCACATACATCTTTACTTCCCTTCTTATCTATTGTCGTGGTAAACGATGTCCTCCACTCCTCGGTATACTCTCTCCCGTTAATACATTTTTAATAAAGGCTGGCTAGCTGCTTATATAATTTGCTTGTACCGTACTTGAGTAGCTCAGGTAGGATATTGTCAGGGCCTGGTGACATTCTATTCTTTAATGCTTTACATATTCGTGCTACTTCTTTGTCGTAAATCCTAATTGGGGAAGCTATTGTACTTGCACCTCTGATTGTGTTTTAGGTGTTTGCAAATATTCTGCCCTTTCTTCCGCCAGTAGCTTTGCGAAGTATTCATCCCATTTATCTACGCTGATCGGTGAGATGATGTCTTTAGTCTTATCTTGTCGAATAGATCAAAGTATTTTCCAGCTTTCGGTGCTTCTGCTACCCCCTAAGTAAGTGTTTATTCTGGAGCAGTTTCTTTCCCAGCTTTCGTTTTTCTTTTTAGTTATCGCACCTCGTATGTTTCTTTGGGCTGTTCTATATTCGTTTTTACTTTGATCTGTATTTATATTTAAGTTTATGTGGTATTTATCTCGTGTAATCTTTATTTTTTCTTCGATTTCTTCATCCCACCAATATGGCTTCCTTCGTTCGGTTTTTTTATATTAACTCAGGTCTTCTTCTGCTGCACCAAGGCCTGCCTATAAATACTTATAATAACGTACATTTACAATAGTTTAGTGACTACTATACAGAGTGTTTCAAAAAGGTATGTCATAAATTAAATCACGCATTCCAGGGACAAAATAAATTGATTGCATCCAACTTACCTTTGTACAATAGTGTACACAAAAAAAGTTACAGACCTTTGAAGTTAAAAAAATTTTTTTTTGCATTATTTTCTAAACTACTTGACATTTTGTAAAAAACTGGACACGTTACATTCTTGTTCTGAAAGCATTTTTCATACAAAAGAAACAACAAAATCTAAACGCACAGAAAAATTTTGAGGGTGATATGCAGCTCTAAATCCGCATAAAACTTTTAGGAAGTTCAAATCAAATGAATTATGTGAAATCATTAGTTTAAAGGCGGAGTCCCATGCATCCGATTTCCGACGACACGATGATCCGAAAGTATTCTCATTGGTCAGAATCGAATCAGAATATTTTCGCGCCGAATTTCATCCGAAATTTTTAACTACGCTTCCGACATCGGATAAAGATAAAATTATTTTAACTTTTTCCGACAAAACGGATGTTTTGTAACCTAATTGTATTCCAATAGTTTAACATCTGTACATATTTAATTTATTGAAACATTAATTTTAATCGAAGTAGCTATGTTCGTAAAGTTAATAAAACGCTATTATGTCTGCTGCTTTTAATTCGCAAAAAAAAACAAAACGTACAATTCGACAAAAAAAATTGGGTTAGTTAAATATTTCAGTAAAAAAAGTCACAAGGGGCTTTTATTAATCTATTGCACTCTTGCAGGAAATGAAGCTAAATGATGTTGAGAAATATTTGCAATTACCTTAGAATGCGTAATTACACATTTCATAAGTTACATAGTTTCTTCTACGTTATCCATAATAAACTGAGTAATTGAAAGCAGGAGAAGGGATTATATACCATGCTGAAATAATCCCTTCTGCTGTTTTACTACGCAAAAGTGGTAAAACAGCAATTACCAGCCAAACCACCAAACATCCAAACAATAAAAAAAAAATTGACAGTTAAGAGTTTATACGGATTTTCGTATCCGACAATCGCATCCATGTGACTAGCTTCCAAATAGCAACTGCGAAACCATACGATTTTCGTATGTCGGATCTCGGAAATCGGATACATGGGACTTCGCCTTAACACATTCCAAAACGAAAGACACACACTTCCGTTTTGCGTCATTTTTGTTCGGACAGACTTGTTCGTCAAACAAAACTGTCGAGCCATAACGCAATTTGTGGGCCGCTTTTAACGAGGCCTGTGCTTCATTTTTCTCTATCATTGATTTCAGCAGCTGTTTAACGAGTTTCAATACAATCCATTGGATCTATTGATGCCTCACATCCGCGCAAAATAAAATTAATTTTATAAAATTGATTTTTGTGCAGCTTATGCGTCTGTGCCTTTCCATTCTAAGTCTTCTTATTTTTTCAAGGAAAATACAAGTTGCTTAATTGCGTGCATTATTTTTTGTTTCATGTAGTTAATAAAATACTAAATAATATAGCACACTACAGCAATATAAATAATAAAATAATACAACAGTTTAGGATATGGTAATATTATAATATAATTCTACAATATTTTCAGGCCAAAACCAATGTATCAAGGGAATTACCCACCCCAAAGCTACACAGCTAATGGATTCAGAAGGCAAGCCTTATTTCCGGTCAAAACAAAGAACAAATTCGGAACTTTTAATAATGCCAACAATTTTGTTAGAAGACCATTTCGCACTAATAACAATCCTGCAAATTTAAATCGTCTAAATTTTAATCAAATTCCTGCTGGTACACCACAACGGCCATTTAGAAGATCAACTACAACCACAACCTCCAAACCGACTACGAAAAAAAAGTTTAGACCATCTTTTATTATGGTGTAACATATTGAACTGTATTTATAAGTCTAATTTATTAATTTATTTATTTAAATAAAATGTTCTAACACTTAGTTTATTATACAATAGTCTATATACAATATTATACTAATTTATTTTTACACTATAATTATATAATTTATTATTATTTAAATAAACTTTGAAGAACGTACTCCAACTTTGACTTTGGCAAAATATACGTGTAAATGATTTATATTAAACGTTTTATACCTTCGAGGTCAAATGTCAAAATGATTTGTTTTCCCGAAGTTATCGTCCATCTTTAAAATCTTCAGCGTCCCCTGTCGGAATTGGCTATCGTGAATAGTGTCTGTTCCCCATAAACTAAAGCACTTGCTGGTGATTTGTCGAAGTATTCTATAAAAAAAAAAAACGTTTATTTTATATATATTTTGGTTCCCGATATTGGTAAGTTGTTAATACAAATAGTATGAAGCAAGTGGTATACTTGTAGTATGGATTTAGCGTTAAAATTCTAAAGATTAGCTTTTGTTGCAGCACATGGAAAGCATATTAATAAAATAAAAAATACTATTTATTGAGATGACTTCAGACGTACCAAAACTTTACTGTACCATTTAAATAATGACCAAGAAGAGTTACAGGTTTGCCGACAAATGTTTTTAGACACGCTTGGAATTAAGTATCGGATGGTACAATATTGGGTTAAACAAAGTTCTTTTGAAATTACTTATGCTCTAGGTGGTAAACGATATAAAACTGATCAGAAACTACTAGACAACATAGACTTTCTACACAATTTTTTAAATGCCCTCTTAAAAATGCCTTTACACTATGCAAGAAAATACTCCTCCAAATTGTATTTGGGACCTACGTTCCATACAATAATGGATGTCTATAAATTCTACATTAGTAAGTGTGAACAAGAAACAGTTGGGTGTGTAAGCAGGACGACCTTTAGTATGATTGTCAAGAAAAATATTTCAAGTTTGCCCATGAAAAAGGATCAATATAATATTTGTGCAAGCTACAGAAGTGGAAATATTATGGAGAATATTTGGCAGGATCATATTAACAAAAAGAATACAGCTAGAGCTGCAAAAGACAAAGATAAAAACGAATCATCAATTGGCAATCAAATCACCCTGGAACTCGATGTTCAGGCTGTGAAACTTGCATCATTCACGCAGGCAAATGCCTTTTATTATAAAACAAAATTGTGCTTCCATATCAGAGTATATAACGTAGCTACAAAACACGCTACTTGTTACTGGTTTTCTGAGGACCAGAACAATCAACTCCAATCTACATTGACTTCTTGCCTAATAGACTGCCTTACCAAATACTATCTCACTGATGATAAAAAAACTGATTATCATATATTCAGACAGATGTACGGCTCAAAATAGAAATTATGTTATGTCCAACGCTTTGCTAAACTTTAGCAAAATGCATAATGTACAAATTATTCAAAAGTTTTTGGAAGTTGGGCATACCCAGATGAAAGTCGATTAAGTGCACGCCTGTATTGAACGAAAATTTAAAAGGCGGAAATTAGGCTTCCAAGCGATTATATTGGTATTACTAGAGAAGCCAGAAAATACCCATCTCCGTATGAAGCAATAGTTCAGTTTCTTTAAAAATTATACAAACCCTCTGAGGTATTCATCGATACGACCAGGTAGAGTAGCAAAAGATCTGGTAGTTATGAATATCAGAGTTATCAATTATGATCCACAGGGTGTTATCAACGTAAAACTGGATCATTCTAGCTCAGAATTCACTGAATTACCAATAAGGTCTAAGATACGTCCTCTGATTGAAAATTATCTTCCGCTGTACACGCAAAGGTGTAAAATTCCTAAATCGAAATGGAAACAACTGCAGGAATTAAAATCGCTAATTCCAGGCGATTGTTACAGTTTTACGACAATTTGTCATATTCGGATTAAAACATTCGCAACAAAGATGGATTTCGTATTCATTGGCCATGAAAATAATGTCATAATACTGAAATTTAAAATTCTGCCTTTGTAAAGTTTCTATTTTATTTTTGACTTATTTTATAATAATAGATGGTACAATTATGAATTGTAATATGTCCTGTATCACAAACTTTTATTTCAATTTATCCTATCTTTTAATTTAAAAGCATTATAAGAAATATTTTTTTAAACTGTTCTTTTTACAAAACAACATATCAAAAAAATAAAATTGACGTGTTTTTTTTTCACACCTTGTCCATTAAAACTACATCTATAATATAATTTTTTCTGCAAATCGCCAGGAAATTTTGACATTCCTGTCAAAATTTCTTGAAGAAAAAGTCAGGACTTCCTTACTGTAAGGAAATGTCATTTCCTTACTGTAAGGAAATGATATTTCCGTACAGTTGTTAGTGTTCTACATAAATGATGACAAGTTTGACAATTCAATCTCAATACGTTTCCATAGTAACCCAAGTAATTTTATTAGGAATTTCAAAGCACCATTTATTTGGGAATAAAATTATCGCGTTTTTTTTAAATCAATCAATATCTGTCGAATTTTAAACGATTTGCGGAAAAAATAGTATGTTTACCTCGTAGGGAAAGCCACATTCCTGGACTCTGTGTTGCTAAGTCTCGGCTTGCGCATCGACTTAGCAATCTTCACAGTCGTCCAGGAATGTTAAGCTTTTCCTACCCGGTAAACAATGTACTATTTCGCTCTCCTGAAAAGTAGCGTTTTTTTAATAGGACATATTGATCCTTCATTCTTCCTTCTATCGATTTACTGCCTCTTAAAATATGGCCTAAATATGAGACCTATCACTCTCTAACAATATTTACAAGCTCTGTTTGGATATTATCTCTTCTTGAGGAAGATAAGAAGAAAAGATAAAGGACAAGAACAGTATTGGAAGGAGAATTGTTTGGCTTCGAAATTTAAGGAAGTGGTTTAATATGAGTTCAACACATAATAATGACCTCCGAAAGGAGAAGGAACGTTAAGAAGAAGAAAATAAAATTATGTGGAAAAACAAAGCGAAACTAAAATTTCGAGTTAGACAGGGAGTTATATAAAAACAAGGTTTATGTCGATTGCTTGGTAGTTTCGTATTGGATTAGCTCGTAACTGTTTTAGATCATCCTACTTGCATATCACTCTGTATTTATTTCAAAAACAGTCGTATACTTTCAAGGTGGAAATATTTCATTTGTTAGTAAAACAACTTCAAAATATTTGAACAATATTGATCAAAATACTCATTGTTTGATCGTAAGAAATGAACGTTTTGTAGTAATTTAAAATTAGTGGAGATGTATCAATAAAATTATTGACAATCCCTCCAGAATGAAGTCGTTATACAACGATTTCTTAATGCTAATAACTTCAGCATACACCAAAAGTATATAAGATTGAAGAAAGCTTGTGCTTGCCCAAGAGTTCCTAATTGTATCTTTGAATTGTTCGAATATTTCATAGCAGAAAACCAAGATGGGATTAGTTCAAATTGTAAGTATCGCTTATTTTCTCTCCAAAATGTGTATATTATTTTTTAAATATAAAATTAGAAAATAACCAATTTATTATTAGCAACTACAGGAACTTAGTTTCCTTGTAGATTGGAAATTTATTATGTTTTCTATGGCAAATAAATCCTTTACAAAATGTTGATAAAATTGATTTAAAATCTGTAATTATTTGAAACCATGTTCTTTATTTATATTTTTAAATTTTCTAAAAGGTATTCTTTCGTGTAGAATTTGTTACAGTATCTTATATTTTTTGTTGTTCCTACTTCCTTGGAAGAGCTATTCTCGTTTAGAAAAGTTCGATCTCTTATTGGCAACATTTCAAAAAAATTATCTGCAATTGTAATTTAATTCCTCCGCCTAGTACTGCTTTTAACTATTATTGAAACCATTATTAGCCCGAATATTAACCACTACTACTACTACTAAGGCTTTCCACAGTTTTCACTGTCTTCCTTCACTCAACCGTTATCTCCAATTTTCCCTGTCATTCTAGTCTCCATTTCGCAGGGTTCTTTTCTCCATAGCCTCGTCGATTTCATCTCTGAATGACCTTCGGGATCTTCCTCTCTTTCTTCTTCCGATCGGGCTCCATTCTGTGATTTTGTTTATCCAGCGTCCTCTGTCCGCTCTTCTGACGTGGCCGTACCAGGATAGTCTCTTCTTCTTTATATAGTCGATTATGTCTGACTGCACTCCCATTCTCCGCTTAATCTCTGCGTTTTCAATTCTGTCTCTTTTTGTAAGTCTACAGCATCTCCTCAGGAACTCCATTTCTACTGCTCTTATTCTACCTCTATTTCTCTTGTTTATTGTCCAGTTTTCGGACCCATATGTCAGGATACTTCTTGTCAGGGTATTATATATTCTCTTTTTTGTCTTTATCGTAATGTTCTTATCCCACAGCACTGAATTTAGTTGTCTTATACAGTTTCTTGTTTGTTTTAGTCTGTTGTTTATATATTCTTCTGTTGTTCCCTGGTTCGTTATTATGGTTCCTAAATACTTGAATTTATCTGTTCCATTTACTTATCTTCCCTCATCTATCTCTAGGTTTCTCATATCCTTGTTTTCTGTTGTTAGGTATTCGGTTTTCTCTAAGTTTATTTCCATTCCGTTTTTTTATATATTCTTCTTCTAGTTTTCTGAGCATAAAGCTGAGATCTTCTTCATCTTGTGCGATGACTACTTGATCGTCGGCAAAACTTAAGGTGTATATGTATTCGTCTCTTACTGGTATGCCTATTCCTTCGCACTTTCTCCTCCATGGTTTGAGTGTCTTTTCCAAGAATATTTTAAACAGGGTAGGGGACGTAGCACAGCCTTGTAGAAGTCCTTTTGTCGTCTTAAATCGATTGTAGGCTTTATTTCCACATTTAATAGCTACTTTGTTTTCTTTGTACAGTGCTTTTATTAGTGTTTGTCGGATTCCGAGATCATTCATTGCTTCCCATAATTTGACTCTAGGTATTGAGTCGTATGCTTTCTTTAGATCAACAAACGCCAGATGGACCGGTCTACCTTTTGCCATTTTCTTCTCTATCAGTTGTTCTAATGTGTACGTATGATCTAGGCATGATTTTCCTACTGTGAATCCTGCTTGGTCTTCTCCAATTTTTCCTATTATTTCAGTTTCTAGTTTTTCTTTGATAATTTTCCCGTAAAGTCTACCTACCGACGATATTATACTAATTCCTCTGTAGTTTTCACATTTTTTCCTGTTTCCTTTCTTATATATGGATGTGATGTATGCTTGTGTCCATTCCGCAGGTATTTCCTCTCCATTTAGTCCTCTTTCGAACATTCTGTGTAGCATGCGGAATAACTTTTCCGTTCCGTTTTTAATTAATTCGTTTGGTATCCCTCCGGGTCATTTGGCTTTTTTGTTCTTCAATGTCTTGATTGCTCTCTTGACTTCTCTCAGACTTATTTCTATCTGGTCGTATGTCCCATTTCCTGCATGTTCTGTATTCTCTTCCTGAAATTGGGGACGGTTTTCTGTAAATACTTCTACGTAGTATTCTTGCCACTCGTTTTTACTAATTTTGCCGATCTGGGTTTTCTCTGTCTTATTTCGTTGGAGTGCTTTTAATATTTGCCATGATTCTGAATTTCTCGTTCCTCCGATATGTCGTTCTATCTCTGTGCATGCTTGTTAAATCGTTTGTTCTTTCCATTTGTTACTCTTTTCTTTACCTCTCTGTTTTTCGCTCTATATAGGTCTAAGTCTCCCTTTTTTTTTGGTGTTTAGGTATTTTATGTGTAGTTTTTTCTTTTCTTTTATACATTTCAATGTGTCTTCCCTTAATTTGATATTCTGAAAAATTTCAAATTTTAGATGAAAAGACTTTTGAAAGCTTGCTTCTTTTAATTCGTTTTTATAAGTATCTGGTTCAATGTCGTATTTTTCTACCTCTTCTTCTTCTTCTTTTTTTTTATGTAGACATGACTCTGTTTTTCAATATGCCTCCAGTAAGTTGTCGTTCCATCGTTTTCGTGGTGTTCCTACTGATCGTCTTCCTATTGGGAAACCATCTCTTGCCGTCTTTATAACTCCATTTGTTGTCATTCGGCTTATATGATCGTTCCATTCTACTCTTCTATTTTTACCCAGTTCTTGACGTTCTCCACCTTTCCTCTATGTCGTATATCTGTACTTCTAGCTCTGTCCCATAGTGTCTTACCATCAATTTTTCATCAAGTGTTTTCATATCTGCTGTTTCTAACATTCTTTTTGTCCTCTCTGTGTCAGGTCTTGTTTCTGCCGCGTATGTCATTATTGGTCTGATGACTGTTTTGTAAATTTTCCTTTTCTTTCTTTCCCGATATTTTTATTTCTCCATATTGTTTCATTTAGGCAGCCTGTGGCTCTGTTGTTCTATTCACTTGAT